TGTTATTCAGTCTGAACACTGTTTTCCCAAGTTACTCAGGTTAGTTCTCGTCTTCCCTACCTTCTTCAGTGTGATGAAAGGTTTGTTTTCATGGCAGAGACTTTAGGAGGTTTAAAAACCAGCTGAAACTAATATAATATTGTATGTCAATTATATTTTAATTAAAAAAAATCAACAGGAAGTATTCAATTGAAAGGACAAGCCTGAATAAATTAGAGAGAAAACAGATTATATGTATTTTTTTTCTTCTTAATATGTTTCTATAACCAATCACTTGAGTTTTCTACATGGATTATTTTATAATCAGAAAAAAATGTCAAAAAATTTTATTATGGCACATGGCCCCTCTGTGGCATAAAAAGAAAGTAGAGATGTCAGTAGCTCCCTAACAAAAAAGCATTTATAGTTATTTCAGCTAAGCTCCTCGGCTTTCTGGCTTTTGGACAGCAGACCGGGTTCTATAATGGTTTCAGTTCCTGGACCTTGTTAGATGCCTTTGGACGAGTGCTGAACTGCTCTGGGCCTCACCTTCATCTCCGTAAAACAACTTCTCTGCCAAACCTCATTACCAAATGAGAAAGTGAATATAAAAGAACTTTAAAAAGATGTGAAAGGGAGATGTATTATTCTTGTTACCATCAATTCTGACAACTGTTAAATACTATGAAAAAACTGTGGAATATGGAGACATAAAGCTGTTTCACCACCTGGTCCTGTCTGTTTTAGCTAAGATGATCTGAACCAAGATCCTGCTAGGAGAAGCAGAGAGAAAATGGTACCCACAGATTTGTAATGTATTTATTCTCCCTCCTTTTTCTGACAGCCATCATAAGGCTCACATTCATTTGGGGCGCACTGTCAATTTTCTTCCCTTGTCCATGTTCGAAGTCAAATTTCCCCCTGGGTGATTAATGCCCTGATTATTAATACATTGGCCATTCCAAGTTCCACAGCTGAAGGAGGAACTTACCCACGATGCTATCAACCTGGGCGTCTGCTGTGTTGGACGCACCGCCCCGAGGACCCAGCAGGGATTCAGTCCTCTCTGCTGCCGGCAAATGGGGCTGCTGTGGAGGAAAATACACAGAAGCAACAATTTAGTAGTGGGCTCCTGCAGAACGAAACCCGAAAGGCTCACACTTTCACTTCCTGGTTGGCTTTTGAGACGCAGTTATAGGAGCTAGAGACAAGGGGAGATGGAAGAAGGACCAATGTCACATAAAATAAACAGCTAAAACTTCACTAACTCAGGAGTATTTATTTCTCCTCAAGGAAAAATTAGGAAGTGTTATGATTTTGCTACTATTAAAACATATGTTTGTTTTGTTTAAGATCTATGTTTTATTAGAAATGTGGAAACGTACATGATCATTATCACGAGCAGCTCAGAGGCGGATGAGAAAGTTGCCTGGAAAGACAACGTGGCGCTCTCTAATGTGCTCTTGGCTCCAGCATCCTGACCAAGGTAAACCTGGACCAAAGACCCTGAAGACAGAGGGTTGAAATCAGCCTATTAAACTCATTGAGGGCAGGGACCTTGCCTCAGATTTGTACACAAGAAGTACTGAAAAAGGACCATCAATTTTATTTTATATTTAAGATGTGGAGGCAACTTTATGCCTCAAGGAAATCCTAGCATTTTTACAAAAGCACTCGCAAGAAAACATGCAACAGCCCAAATTGTAAACATCTTGAAAGGTCTTACTGGTCTGATGCTGAACTAGCCTTCTCTCAACAGGTACCAGGCACAAGAGGGTCATTTTAGACTCCCCTTTTATCTATTTTAATATTCTCTGCCATTTCTTAAATGGAAAGGAAAAAAGGTATAAAGGTTCATAGTGACAAGGAGAAATGAAAGCCAAGGAGGAGAAACGATCCAGGAAAAGCTTTACCTCTGAGTGACAGGTCTCTGCTGCCCCAATGCTACGGTTTGCTCCAGCCAATGAGCTGAGAAGGCTAAAGCCTTGGTTCCTGTCTGAAAAGAAAAAATATAATCACCGCAACTTTTTATTTACATTTTAAATTGTTAAAACGACTGTGATGATGAAACAATGACTATTTCCTCATGATAAAAGTTCTATTTATAAAAAATACTAATTATAAAAAATTATTATCAATTACTATTCTCTCTATTCTGAGTAATTTTTTTAAAATTGCAGCATATTAGTCCAGTTCAAATATAATGGCAGGGCCATTACAACAAACAAAAGGCCACTCTGTGGTTCTGTTTGCAAAGATTAACAGCACTAAATTTTTAATAGTCACTATGAACTAATATTCCAGTGTTTTAAGTAATAAAAAATTTTCAAAAAATCAACACCGAGGCATTATCATCAGGTGAAAAGGAACATGCATGCTTTTTTGAAATAAAGCTCTAATTTTGATATGAGTGGGCCAGCTGCAGTTAAGGCTTCCAATACTCTCGATATCTGTATTTACAATGGAGGACACACCTGGGGAAGAACATCTAGAACTGATGAAATAGAAGGCCCAGCTCTGATCTGATAGCGTTACCCAGAATCGCCAGGGCACTTATTAAAATTACCCCAGTATTCAGCAGGCAATATGCTTCAGACTGAGACAGAATCTCTGGGATAGAGGCCAAGGAATCTTAACTTTTAGTAAGTACTCCAGAAAAGTCTTAGGGTCGGGGAAACTGAAAACAAAACAAAACAAAACACTGTCTTAATAAGTAGAATGTGAAACCCACAATTCAAGAGTCTAACAGTCTATAAGTCAAAGAACTCTCAGAAAGATAACTTCTTGCCACCTTGCCTTTTCTGAACCATTCTCAGCTCTCTTTAAACCACCTACAAACGTCCTATGTCCTCTCCCCTGCCAGGTGAAACCTGTTGTCAGATGCTCAGTTACACAGAGGGGTCAAAAACAGAGAACCACTTGCAGTCTCCGTCCTTCCTCTCACCCTTTCACTGGGGGGAGAGGCGCCTTTTAAACTGGGATGAAGCCCCCAGCGTGGTGCGCTGCAGCCTGACCTCTCACCACGTGGGCAGTCGCCTAGCCGACCTAGTGCACGCCGCTACCTACCCAGCACCTGTCTTTTGAAGGCTTCAGTACTAAGCCTGCTGCTGCCCTGTTGCTTTTCCTGCTCTACAACCACACAGTGGCAGCGGGGCCAAAGGTGCCCATGCATGCCTGGAGCCCCCTTTCACCTCCCCATCCAATGACCAGGCCCTCAAGTTTCATCATGGTGGGCCGTGGAGGCTGGGGCTGAGAAGCAGGTCCAGATGGTGTCCCACGAGGATGGTTTCAGGGCTTGGGGATGTTTATTCAAACAGCAACAAAATCCTTTCTTTTGGGCCACTGTGCTATAGACTTTACAGCAGTTGTATGCAGTTACGCAATGCTCAGACAGGGATTTTACATGTCATGCATGCATGAGGGCTCTTATAAAATACTTCACGCTCTTTTTACAAACAGCATTATTGGAGCAATAGGGAACTACTGTGAAAGAGCACTTCCTTCTATTACTGGAAATAACTTGGACTTTGGGTAATATTCAAATTCAATTCACAAATCTCTCCATATTCCAATTGCACTGTTTTACTTTTTTCCTCTGCTGGGTATTACCTAAACTTGGCAGGCCAGACTGCAACCCATGAAGAATAATGCAGTACAATGTCAGCCTGGGCATGTTATTAGGCCAAAACGTCTATTTAAAATGCCTCATTCTATACAGTGGCTGCCTCCAAGGAGGGGATCTGGATGGACAAGGGTTAGAACAGTTAGAGTTGGAGGGAGCCAGACTTGTCACTGTACCATAAACCTCTGTGTACCTTTTGACTTTTATTCCATGTTCACGTGTTTACCTATTCAAAGAGATTTGTTTTTATTTAATGATTATATGCTATGTGTATTTTACCATGGTAAAAAAAATGAATGCCCCAATTCTAATAATGGATAATATTATGAAAAAGTCAGAATAGTGGGAAGAGAACTGGGCTCGTGGTCAGAAGGCTGGATTTCACTCCTGGCTCTGCCTACCAGTATGATCTTGGACACAGAAGTCAATCTTTCTGTGCCTCGATTTTCTGTTCGGTTAAATAACAGGGTTGCTACACGTGGTTGTTAAAGCTCCAGTCTGCTTTAAAAATTTGTGATTTTATAAAGAGGCATTCTTTATTCTCTCTTTATAGTAACTTTGAATTAGCTGGGCTTAGATATTTTTTAAAATTACTTTCTAGAGAGAATAACAAGAAAGCACCTTAAATTTCAGAATCCTTTTAAGGTTCACAAATGACTGAGTTTATTTTAATCAGGTTTTAGGCTAATTATAATTTTTTTGTTCAGTATTTTCTTATAAACAATGGAAGATTTAGTCAACTAACAAGAGAGTTCACTATGTTCTCCTGCTTATGTTTTAAGGAAGTCAGAAACATAACTTTTCACAATTAGAAAAACAATTCATTTTTGTTTATCCAAAGCCAATTGCTTGCACATTAATGTTGCTCAAAAATCTTAGATTTTGTTTTTCACATTTATAGTTTTAAAGAAACTCTCAGTTTTGCTTAGTTCAATGTTTAGCAAAATTATGTCCATGTGCACCCACTGTAAAACTATTCTTATAGAAAAGCATTCCATAAATCTTTTCTTGTTTGCCAGATTTTTCTCCCCAGGATTCAGGGCATAGAAACGTCATTCCTATTAAGAAGGATTTATTCTTTTAGCAGGTAGTTATTGAAATTGGCTTTAGCACCTCTGGTTTTATTGATTCCACAAAATACTAAACTGGGAAGGAATAAATGAATCCATCTACTCAACTGATTCTTCTAGAACTTCAGAGCTGCAGAAAGGGGAAGTTGTTAAGTGATATAAAATACATTATTCTGGAAGGCAGAGTAAGTACATTACACTCTGGTTCTAAAAACATCTGATTCAGTTTCAGTACACTAATAAATCAGCACGAGCGGGATAACAGATAAAAATGATAGTATCATGAAAAACAAAATCCAGTGGTGCTGATCATTAACATAGAATTCTTCCAGGAAGTGTCAGAAACAAAACTACTGCCTCCAGAATAAAGATTTCAAGTGGGAAATTCTCAAGCCTTGGGGAAGAGCTTTTATTTATTTATTTTTAATAAGTTTCAAGAAAACTTAAAGTATATATGAAATTACACGGGTATCTCTTTACAGTTCTAAAGGCACACTGTTATTTTAGAAACAAAATTCATTTCACATAGCAATTTTGACATACATTTAGAAAATTAAAAACCTAGGTAAAAAGGGAAATTCTAGTATGAGGGAAGGGGAAAAATCATTCTAAAAAAAATATTTTTTTCCTTCTAATTTTTCTGCTCTTCTCCATTATTTTATCGAGGCAACATGATAAAAATATGAATTTGGAGATAAAGACATGGATTTGAATCCTAGTTCTACTACTTACTGTATGGCCTTATACAAGTGATGTCCTCTCTGTACCTAAGTTTCTCCATTTATGTGGAGGATATAACAATACTTACCTTGTAGAATTATTATAAGGGTTAATAATAAGAGCTAACATTTACCGAGTGCTAACTATGTACAAGGTAACATTCTCAGTACTAAACATGCAATGCTTTCATCCTCACAACCAACAGATGCCTTCTACACACAAATATACACAAATAGAAATCAACATTTACCTGCTTTATTTTATTGTCTTCTTTTACAGAGGATTTATTAATCTTTTTTTTAGAGTAAACTAGAGATCAAATAACTTGTCGAAAGTCACGTAGCTAAACCTGAATATGAAATGCAGAACTCTCTGATTCTAAATCTCTTAACTCGCTCCATTAAGCTCAGAATAAAATATAAAGAATAAAAGTTGAGACAGTCGATGCTTAATATACAGATATTGCATATGACACAAACTTGGGACAAATGCAAAAAGATGTCTTTTATTCACATATAGTTCTCTTCTGCCCGTAATCCTTCATTATGTCGCTACTTTAAACTGAATTCAACTTGACTACACTAAACAGCTCAGGAATGAACAATTAATCATGTACTTCTGTAACGCTGCTCAATATCTAATCCCAGCCCTGCCCCATAACTCCTGAAAGCGTTAGTCTCATAAAACTAGTGGCAGACAGGTGGTTGGACCTCACTGTCCTTTTGCTGTCCCTCAAGTACATGTAGACAAGGGTTTCTCAACCTCAGTACTATTGACATATTGACATTTGAGGCTTCTGTTTGTGGGTACGGGGGTGGGTAGGGGAGTCCCGTGCATCCTGCCCATACCCACCAAGTGCCTATAGCACTGCCACCAAAGGTCTGGGGTAAGGGTAGGGACACAAAATCACCTCCAGTTGAGAACCACTGATATAGATCTACTAATTAGGCCAGGAAATTTTGGGCTAAAGTTCTCAGGTTTTAAGTCATTTCTTAAAAATAGTTTTAATGAAAAAAGAGAATAAAAACATTTAAAAAATGCCATGTTTCCTCCTGTCAGCATTATAAACACCTTTCCCCCCTACTCTGGGAAAACTTTCCTAGATGACTTCAGCTCTTAATCACTTCTCCTCAGTGCCATTTGCCTTTTTGTCCTTCCTATTCAATCAACCCTTTAGAGAATATGCTAGAATAATGCTTGTCTGAAGTCTATCTGCCATCCTTAATATATGATAAATTCCCTGCAGACACAGACAATAGTTAAGGGCTCGTCTACCCTTCACCGCTTCCAGCACAGAGCTGAGTATACAGTGGGGATGCGGAAGTGTCCCCTGACAGCCTCATATGACTGTCAGAACAGGGGCTGCAAGCACTGGCTGACCAGAAAAGTCTTTACTTCAAATTTACATATACTGCTCACAATATTAAGAATTTCCATGAACACACCCCCAAAATGCCTTCGATAACCTGTTATATATTTTCTGTGTTCATATTTCAACTTTTATTTCTTTAAAGCAGCAATTATTTGGCATCACCTAAAGAAGTTCAAGTTTTCCCCATATTTTAAGTTTTCTTTACATCCCCT